TCCAATACTTTTAACTTTTTGTCAGAATATACGACTTTCGAACCATAACAATTTCTGCAATTTGGATATTATATCACCATCTCATGCTGAGGAGAATATTCTGACAACTGACAGCATCCCTCACATCTCAATATTACCCATGCCATGCTATATTGGGCAAAACAGGGGCAGAAGTGTGCATTCTGTATATGTTTACTATTGTGATGTACTGATGTGCCTGGACCACTCTTCATATTGTCATGAATACTGCACTACTTGTCATGCTGTACTCACCATCACAGTTTCATCATCTGCAGCTGATATGATTCTTTCACCTGCTGGATCAAATCTCACACAGTAAACCCAACCACTGTGTCCTTTATACACTGCCATTGTATTGAAACTTGTGGTGTCCCAAATCTAAATGATGCAAGTATTACATTTGGGTCAGAATAACACATTCTAAGAAGACGACATCAAAAGGATATGTTTTTCATTCATATGTTTAGTCATCATCCATGTTATATTTATTTTTTAGGTGGATACTCACCTGTATTGAGAAATCTGACAAACCAGCAGCAATTAAGTCACCTTTGGCAGAATAGGCACAGTTCTGAATAAACACAGATGGCTTTGCTTCACATGTGTGCAGTCGCTGCCCTGTACGAGCAACCCATACCTATGAACAAATCAAAGTCAGCTGTCAACCACAAAATGCTGCCCTGTGTGGACAAGCCATGCAGACATACAAAGTCACAGAGCATCCCTTCTCTTGAAACTTTCAAAGCGTTCATTGTAAACTGTGGTGCCAATGGTCAGAAATCGACAGTTGTATGGAACACAAACAAATAACATATCACCATAACGGAATAGATAGTACATTTTATTTGGTAACTGATCACAAATGAATGAACAAGATTAAGTGTTATCCCCCCCCCCCAAAAAAAAAACCCACAAAATTTAAACACAATCTACAATACATATAAATATACCATAAAGTGGATATTTAGTACCCTTGAACATCATTGTTGATGTTTGTACTGCATGACAATCCTAAGGAATTAAACAACAATTCAGATCTACTATTCAAGTCCACGAAAAATTACATTAGCCAAGCATCATGACATTGAATAGAGGCTCAAAATGTGCTGGGAACTTGACCCACCTGTATGAAATACTCTGAACTTGAGGCAATATTCTGACCATCTGGTGAGAAGCAGCATGATGTGATGTTGGTATTATGTCCTTTGTAAGTCACGATAACATCTTCTGTAGATATACACCACACCTTGTGAAATAAATATACATATGCCAATGATTAAAAATATTCAGTTTTATCAAAAATTTCAAAAATATTCATCATAATTAAAGAATTGGAGATATTATCATGAAATGAACAAATCATACTAAATATCAAAGCAATCAAACTCATATTTTTTAAGAAAAAAGTGAAAATGTCACAAGCTGATGTACAAGCACTTCATCACTAGAGGGTGCTATTTATTGGAAAGTTACAGGATACCATCCATTGTTACAATTAGTGATTATGCTCTCTAACATGACAGATGACTTACCTTGACAACGACATCATCACAACAGCTGACAAGAAACTGATCATCCAGTGAGAAACTACAACACTTTACTGCTTTGTCATCATCACATAGCTCCACTGATACTTCTCCAGTAATAACGTCCCAAATCTGAAAAAAAAAATATGAGCATATATACTATCAGAGGTACATTACTTGGGGTTTGCAACTATGGTGACATGATACCAAGATTCCGATCAATCTCGCTTTCGCATAAGCGTTCCCAGCTCAGAACAATGCGAATGCGCATGCCCAAGGTAACTAGATTACTGTGTGGTCCAGGTGGATCAAAATAGGTGCCCACGATATGACGGATTACGAGAACTATAGTTTTTTGTACATTTTCAGATGTATTACATTTTTCACTATGATAGTGGCAAGACATGTTTTATTTTTTTATTACAAACCTTGAACATTGATATATGTCATGTCAGAAGGTCGTAGCCTCAGTCTCGCTATCTACGAGAAGAGACTTAATGGGATCTTGACATGATGTCACCATACAGTACTATGCGCGTTGCAAACCCCAAGTAATGTACCTCTGATACTATTAAATATATTTCCATTCTTGCACAAAAACTAATAGTGATACAGAATCAATACATCACACCTAGTGTTATCAATAATTCACTAAAATGCTCATATTTCATCAAGGCGGAATGCTTGCTATCACAATTATTTTCGTGAAACTCCACTAATAATATTTCTACCAAATGACAGATCAGATTAATATCACTACAACCCTTTTTAACACCATTGTTTTTCCCAACAAAATTTTGCACATCTTTATGTATTTTTATATAATTTCTTTGTTAATTTTGGACCAAAAGAACATAATATTCCATTTCCTACTGGTATTGATTAAAAGTCTTGAATCAAATATGGAAAAATTCAGCTGGGTTCATTTTATGATGACAATTTGACTTTGGCACTCAAAGCTTCAAAGGTAACATTTCCTAATCTAATGGTAGAGACACTTACCTTTATGTACCAGTCTTGTGAACATGATACAAGTCTTTTGCCATCATGTGACCAATCACACATGTATACATTCTCTTCATGGTCTTTGAGTGTGTGGATGATGCCACCAGTCTGAACATTCCAAACCTAGTATACATATGTATGTGTATGTATGAAATATAGTGACATGAAATTTTGTATGTTATGCAATCTTGAAATGCACACAAATATGGCAACTTTTTTGATGAAAATGTTTTTTTGTTTTCACTTTTCATGACAAAAAAGCAGTGACATTAAACTGACAAGCAGGCTGAACAGAAACATGAATATTTTTATCTGGTCCTTACTGTTCTATCTCAAAATTGGATGCCAAATCATTTCTGAAATTACATTATCTTTATGAGAGCATTGCATATTTAATTAAAAAAAAATACTTCTAACCAACTCAGATTCTAAACTTACCCTGACCGTATGATCATCAGAGCAAGATGCAACCATGGTGCAGTCAGGTGAGAAACAACACCAGTTAACAAAGTCTGTATGTCCTTCAAGCGATAAATACTCCTGACCTGATTGGCTATCCCAAACCTACCAGTATATTAACACATATTTTTGAAATTAAACAGTATAGATACATGTAATAAATCATACGCATGGATGAAACTATACATAGGAATTACTCGTACAAGTACTACAATTAAAGGTGAACTTGTTAATTAGTGAACATTACACAGCCACTGAATATAGGAAATACCTTCACTGTTTTGTCGCCAGAACAAGAGACCACTTTTTGGCCGCAGCAGGAGAACTGAGCACACTTAACGGCATCATCATGTACTTTATTTGTTAATAAACAGGCATAGCTAAAGTTCTCTTTGTTGCTGAAAAATACAATGACTTTTTGTTCAATTATAACTTCCACAACGTGAAATAATACCAATGTATGAAGTGAATGACAGGCATGTGCCATTAAATACTCTGGGTGGGAAGATCAAATGTGTGTGTATTTTTTTATTTAAATATTCAATGTATTTTTTTCTTTGATTTTTTGTGGAGACTATTATTTTTTTCTGAATTCACCCCTTGTGAACCCGTAAGGTAGACTGGGTTGATATATATCTATCACACACATAACCTAAAAATATATATACAAGACATAATCAGAGCCTACCTCCAGTCAACATAAAATAGATCTGGTTTTCGTAATGCTCTTTCTTTTGCCTGCTTATAAACTGCACTCTCCACGGGCTGACATAATGCTAGCTGTGTGACATCATAGACGTCCTTCCCAGCAAAGAAATGTGCATTGACGCTGACAAAATGAAGAAACTCCTTTCTTTCGATTTCCCTCTGTAAAAATTAAATTCACTTTAGATTAAAAACTGATAAGCTGAAAAAAAACAACCATTACCAGCAGTAGTACACCAAGTAATTGTCGAGTAGGAGATTTGGAATTTATTCTCTGATTCCATTCATTTTCTAAGCACCAAGCCACAAATATAAATAGAAATGTTAAGTGGATACTACAAGGATGAACACAGCACAACAATATTACAACACAGCTTAAGATATGATGTAACAATAATAGAAATATTAAAAATCAAGCAATAATGAGACATAAAAATATATAATAATTACATTGTATATACTACAACCAATTAAAATCCAACAGAAAATCACTAACCACCAGAACAAGTTAAGGTTTAGTTAAATTTTCAAGGAAACACAGAATTTTATGCAGAGAAGTAACCATGAAATAATGTTACATCAGGTCTGAGAATTATTCAGGCAGCATGAGTGCTCACTAATTCACTAACAGCTTTGGTTTGGACTGAATAGATGGTCTGAAGTGGCTGTCACTTTTTGTGGCTTTTTTACTTTTACTACCAATTATTTTCTAAAAAATTATATTTTACACATTCAAGTTCATGAGGTTTTACAGGACTTAGGCAGAGGGTTCTCCGAACCCGTCTCTTCACATAGTTCATACCCACCATAGACTCCGGTCAGTCAAAATTACTATTTTGAACTGTAGGCATTAATCAGCGATTCTGCCAATGACGGAGAGATAGAATCTAGGTCAGGGGAAGCCCCATGACCCCAAGATTCTTTTTTCTTACGTCACAAACCATGTGTCCGAGACCATATGGTGGCGCCATTATGGCTGGATATTCACTCTGGTTCTTTTCTCTCCGCATCGAGGACTTAGACCAATGCTACGGAAAGAGTGGGGTGGTTGGGGGGGACCCGGAGTCTATGGTGGGTTTGAACTATGTGAATATTCAGGTTCTAAGAACCCTCTGCCTAAATTCACTACGTTCAATTACCCACCATAGACTCCGATCAGTCAAAATGACTATTTTGAACTGTAGGCAGAGTCAGACACCGATATCCTGCCTGCCTGAGCCGTAACACAAAGACATGTGCCTGGCACCCCGTCCTGAATCCTTAGTACGGTTTTGGTAGCAACTCCGTGCTCAACCGGGCAGAGAAGCAATTCCTTCTGACCCTCCGAGCCGACAAAATTTGACAGCCGGGGGATGACGATTGGGTGAGGATCGTGTCCTGGGATTTGGTTCTTGACGAGAAACCCGATTCGTGTCTTTAGCACAACTTGATTGTCCATAACGGGGGTACATCGTCCGAGAGCGGACAACACAACCGACAAATCCCAGTTGGGCGGTTCCCTTGTACGGGGTCTCGGTGTCTGGAAAGCAGTATATAGTCTCCTAATAATAGGACAAACGGCTAGTCTTGTTCCCGAAACGTTCTCAATGGTGGGGGACAAGGCCGACCTGTAGCCTATCGTTGTTGCTACCTGGGCAATA